ATTGTTTTCTCTTTCATTTCTCTCTGTGCACCTCTGTGAAAAATCTTGAGAGGGAAAAATGTGTTGTCACAGTCTTGGTTTGTTTATGGCAACCAAAAACACCCCAACCCAACAACCAAAACCTAAAACATTAAAAACTTACAGCATCAAAACTTTCCCACTTCGAGATAAAGCTGAAATCCACATCAGCATGGTCCAAGGAATCAAATCCTGTCAGTGGGCACTTTGGAGGGAGCCCAGTGATGTGGAAGAATTGCAAATAGCTGGCTCGTCAGTGAAATAATGTAATAATCATGGTCTTGAGTGGCAGATGGAGCTGTGTCATGGGGATCTTTTGCTCTGAGAAGCACCATTTTAATACAGGGATTTAAATACTCCTGTTTAAGGAGCCCACGGTGGATTAGCAGCAAATGAAAAGGATATGATATTGAAAAAGTGTGGTGTGCTAGCTAAATTTGTCCAAGTAATTAAAATAGGTTCAGGAATATAAAGATAAGAATGGGAGTGATATTTTCAAGATTTCTTCTCTACTATGATTTTAATAATTGGATATTGATGTAGCTTTAGACTTCAATATTCCTAATTTTTAAAAATATTATATCTTTTTCTTTGAACTTGATATGGCAGTTACAAAACATCACCACAGCATGTTTCTTCTACTCTACTTCAAATCTGAATCCAAGTATCAAGAAATGGTGCTGTGTTTCTAATCTGGACACCCTTTACAACTTTTCTAAGATCCTCTTAAGGAAGAAATAACAAGTTCCGTAATAAGGTAAAGGCTCAGGTGGGACCAGATGGAGCCTTGTGTATAAGGAACAGATTTAGATTCTACCTTCACATCCTGCTCCATTATGTGGTTGCAGCTTTTATATTCTACTTTTCAAGGTATGATTTGACAGCTGCTAAATGACGAGAATAATGAACAGTGCTAATATTTGAATTACACCATTAATATTTGGTGTATTGGACAAAAAAGCAGGTACTTTTGAGTGCATAGACATCCAGATGAAGAAAAGCAATTTTAAACTTTTTTTCCCCTCCTCCCCTCCATCTTGTCCATCTGGGCCATTTGCCTTCCTAGTTGGGAAGTCAGCAGCACAGACAGCGATGCATTCTCTTGAAAGCTGGGAAAATGGCTTGGCAAGCTTCATGTCACCTTCTGTTAAACAATTTGATTTGTTCTTAATTTTTTATTTTTTTTTTAACCTCTTCAAAAGCGTGAGCGAGTGCTGGAACCCATAAAAAGTCCTTTAGACTTGGGCTGCTCTGTTCAGCCTCCTGGACTTTTGTGTTTGCTGAGTGTTCCAGGCTGGAGCAGCCTGATTTCAGAAATGCCTGGAAGGTGCCTCTTGCTCCTGTTCTGTGCACTGCTGTTGCCATAGTATCCCTATCAGAGCTATGGCACAAATGACAGGCAACGTACAGTTATGGCTTTATAAATAGGATTCTGGAAGAGCAACACTTTCCTCTCAACATAAGATATTTTATTCTATAGCCAAGCAGCAAACTTGTGTCACGTTGGGATTTTTTTTCTCCTTAAAGGCCTACAGCTCTGGAGCAGAGCTTCAAAACTGTTACTAGAATTATTTCAAAAGAAAAAAAAAACCACAATTAAAAAAAAAAATGTATTGTACAGAAGTTCAAGCATTTAAAATAATTGTTGGTTGTTTTTTCCTGCTAAGCTAACACTGTCTACTACATGTCTGTACCCTTTTGTCACTCAGGAAAATCTGTGACAGCAAAAGTCACCACAAAATTCACGCTAGCATTTATCTAACGTGGTTTATAAGTGTGCCGTGCTGTTTTTTCACGCTTTGAAGTATTTTCTTTACTATGACACAAGAAGAATTTCAACAGCCTCAAACTTGGTTTATAGTGAGTAAAAGTATGCATGAGAATGCAATGCCAAGTTCCACCCTGCAGTTTTCCTTACAAAACTCTTTGAGTCCTGCTGTTGTTATTTTATAATCCCTGGAAACTCCACTGCAGATGAAACTGGGGTTAAAGGCTTATAATTTAGTTTGAATATAAAGTATCTCCTGGCATGATCTCAACTTTCAGAACTGATTCAGGAATATTGTTGATGAACTCTCTAGATTGTTCAATTTATGTACTCATTCTCATATTGCTTTAAAAAAATTCTTTAATGCATTTATTTGGATGATTTATATACCTGTTTATACAATATTTTTACATCATTATCATTTATAAGCAATACTTTCATCAGCATTGCCATATAAGAATTTGGGATAGAGGCGAGGATTTGGTTTATATTTATGGTTGGTGTTGGGTTTTTTCCTTTCCTACCCTCAGAAATGTAAATTTAAATTATTATTCATTAAACATCAGGATTTGAAGGGTATTATAACCCTGTTGTGTTATTTTTCATTTTAATTCGTAATAGAGAGGAAGAAGTAGCAAAATAATTCCTTCTAGTATGCAGAAAACATGCAACCATTCTCATTTTTCTTTTTTTTTTTTTTTTTTAGGGAAGCATTTAAATAGAAACCTTTTACTGTAACCTATACATTTTTATTTGTGTTTTCCATAGGAAACAATGTAAATGCATTTATTTCAGTAATAATGGATGCAAAGATGTGCTTTCCTGAAATAAAGTCTCTCTGCAGGTCAAATGTACGTGGGCAATGGCTTCAGTGGGATGACAATTGCTGGAGCTGCAGTTAAAGAGATGCAGTTTATAAATCAAATAATAAGTTATAAATATATTTACATTATTTATTGTATATCTATAATAGATCTGTATAATATATTTTTACAATATAATATTAAATATATATTATACATTATATATTTATATTACATAATGAGTTAATAAAGCAAATAATAATCAAGTAATAAATCAAATTATAACAGCCAAACTAATCCACTTGTACAGTATCACCAAGTCATTCACTGGGCTCACACTGCTACCATGGTGTTACCATAATGGTCATCAGGAGCTGCTGCTGATTTTCTAATTTGCATATTTAGAATGTGATGTTTTAATGTTTTATAGAAGGCTGTTGGTCCATTGCTTCACTCTGGGCACCTGGCTGGTGCTGCTCTGGGTGCTGTGAATCCCTGAAGTCCAGTGATAAATCAGGGAATTCCTGAAATGCCATCCCCTTGTCAGCCATCCCAGGATCACTGAATTACTCAGGGAGCAAAGCCTTTTTCCCTAAGTGGGGACTTGCAGCACTTTTATTTCATGTATAATCATGAAAATGGTGTTGTTTTCTCCTTTGGTGCAATCATGAAGCCAGAAAATCATGAAGCCAAACAAAGCTGCCCAGTTGGTGCTGACCTGGGGATCCACCTTGCAGATGGAGTTGGAATGTTCTGTGTCTGTCACTGCCTTCCAACCCAAAGCAGTTTGCAGTGTTTAAATAGAAATATTAATTGTTCCTGACCTGTTTCACTGCAAAATCAAAGCTTTAGTCTAAATTTCCCTGCAAGTGGCACTGCTGAAGGCAGTAACTAACAGGCAGAGGCAATTACTGGCACCAGGGATTTCTTCAACCACTGCAACTTGATCTGCAGAAGTAAATCAATCTTTGCTATGACAGGGAGAATAAAATGAGAAGAGACAGGAAACAGAATTACACTTTTACCTGCACAGTAAGAAGAATGTAGATATGTTGGCACATATTTGAAACAGATGCTAACCTAAGATTTCATTTACAAGAAAACTCACTTTACATGGAACTCTTGAACATTTACCTTAGAGAAATGCTATCCCAGCAGATCCTAAATTTTCGGAATGGCAGAATTATGTGAAGATTAGGCACATATTCTATACATGGAGTTCAAGAGAGTGATTTATCTTTGAAAAATTCTTGGCTGAAGGCTGTATGCAGCTGCACAGATACCTGTGTGTACCTGAAAATCCTCCTATTCCACTTCCATCTTTCTCGAGGCTGTTAAGAACCTCAAGGCAAGAATATATTGTTATTCAGAAACCAGCTTGGAAAGTATATAGATTTTTACAACAGGTTTGTATCTCCTCCTAAAGGTGGTGGTGTTCCAGAGTACTGTGAACAGGCATCACCAAATTTAAAATTGTACAAAATTTCTTGCAATTCACTAGACAGATTTCCACACATTGTTGGCTGAAGCTTACCAGACTCCATTTGGATAATAACATTTTCTTGCCAGTTTAAGCTCCTGAATTAAAAATATCCAGATTTCTTTGTTGTTGTTAACAAACATTACATAATTATGTCAGTGCAAAACTTAGGGGGAGAATTAAGACAAGTGTTCTTCTATTCCCATATCTAAGCAAGAGGTATAAAAAGATCTGGTTCTCAGCAGATGGTTGCTTGCAAACTTCTTGCCTACTTTTTTCTTAGGAAACAGAAAAAAATGAGGACAATGTGGCAGAGAGATCAAAGGAAGACATTTTCCTGAGGAGCAAAGGAAAATCTCATGCTGGAAATAGGGGATTCCTGTACTTATTTCTTCATTTAACATGATCCAGCCCTAAAATTCTTACCTTAGTATTCAGTTAAGAGTTTCAAGTAAAAAGTTGTGCAAGAAATTTTATACATATTTAGGAAGGATGGAGTCAAATGTGACTTCACTGTCGCTATAGGACACGTGAAGGCACGATGTGAGCCGCTGCTATTGCAAGGTGAAAAAGAGGAAGTTTATTTTCTGACTCCAGCATTTATACTTTTCCAAAGGTGACAGTGGATTGGAGGGTGAATGTGCCATCTCTCCAATGACATTGGACAAACTACCAGTACATCAAATTTCTCTGCCTCTATGGAGGAATGCAAAACAATAGATTGTTTACAGAAAGTTGTGTGAGAAAGTTCTCTACAAGAATATAAACTCAGAAAGCTTTAAAAAATTTTAAGAATCAGGGTAACACTTCACTAATGAGGCTTTCAATCAGTTCACATTGTTGTAGCAGGAAAGGAGCTCCTTTAGCTCTTATCTCTTTGGGAACACAATATTCTCTGACTTTTAAAGGCTTTTCCTCTCCCTTTTCCCAGCTACTCCTGGCGTTCTACACGAATACTCATTAGTCATTCTGGAGATGGACTTGCTGTCTGGAACCTACCTCTTGGCAGTCCTGTTGGCCTGCATCGTGTTCCAATCTGGCGCCCAGGAGAAGAATTACACCGTGCGGGAAGAGCTGCCGGAAAATGTCCTCATTGGCAACCTGCTCAAGGATCTCAACCTAACGCTGGACCCCGACGTGCCCCTGTCCTCCCCGCTGCAGTTCAAGCTCGTCTACAAGACCGGGGACGTGCCCCTGGTGAGGGTGGAGGAGAACACCGGGGAGATCTTCACGGCTGCCAACCGCATCGACCGCGAGAAGCTGTGCGCCGGCATCTTCAGCGAGAACCGCTGCTTCTACGAGGTGGAGGTGGCCGTGCTGCCCGACGAGGTCTTCAGACTGGTCAAGATCAGGTTCCTGATCGAGGATATAAATGACAACGCCCCCCTTTTCCCCTCGACAGTTATTAACATCTCTATCCCTGAGAACACGGCCATTAATTCCCGCTATTCCGTCCCGTCTGCCATCGACCCAGACATCGGCGTGAACGGAATCCAGCATTATGAGCTCCTCAAGGTGGGTTTCTTTCATCCTTCTCCGTTGCTATGTGTGTCACTGTCCTCCCACAAGTGTTGCCAGTCCTCGCCAACCCGTCAGAAACCCCAAGCTGTGTGCTGCACGCAGTCACAGGCAGCCAAAGCTGTGAACTGCAGTTGTGGTGGGGTGCAGGTCCGTGTGAGAGTGTGAATCCACAGCCCTGAGTGCGTTCTGTGCATCCCATCCCCGCTCCGTGGGAAGCTGTTTATGTGCCTGTGTAACAGTGTGAGGAAACATCCCCACCTCCATGAGCTCTGCACCAGCATTCAGTGTTTGTACACTTTGGCTGACAGTCTTCCTGGACCATTAAATACATGTCCTTATTGCCCCTGACACGACAGTGCCAAGCGCAGAAATGTTCTGTGCTGGGTTTATGCCCCTGTTTTTATGGAGACATTCTTTATTCATGCCTCTCCTGCACTACTGATGTACTGGAGCAGTAGAACTTGGCCCAGAAGTTGATGTGATGCTCAGCTGTGTATTGATGAGCTTTTCCAGAGGGAAGGAGTCTGTTTGTCAGAGCAGCTTTGTAATGTCTGGGCAGGAGCAGCTCCAAATGTGCAAGGAGAGCAGTGCCAGTGACCTTGTAAGAGCAGATATTTCAAATTCTTGCTGCTTTTATTCCTTCTAGCAACTAACAGGGGAACTGGGATTAGGGAACGGAAGAATAACATAAACATGTGATGTTTATATAAACAAGAGTGTGTGATTGCTAAATAAAAGATCACTTTCGTTTGAGCTTACTGAAACAAACTTAAGAACAGGAAAGAAACTTACCCTGAAATGTTGTGGGGGAAGCTGAAATTGCTCTTAGTTCCTTTGATTTGGAAGAGGGAACTATTTTGTGGTTTGGCTGCTTAGCCAGCAATCTGACCCTCCTTACTGCCAGAAGAATATAGATTATATTATCCAATATATTGCTTGACTGACTGGATAGCTGATATTTGCTGATACCAGTACATACGAGCAATTTAATAAAAAATAAAGCTCTGCCTTTTTTTAGCTCTTTTAAATTGCTTGGAAGTAATTGTGGCAGTGTGGGTGCTAAGGAGTGATAAAGACATAAAAATCTCTTTCAGGAAACTGCATCCCACTGGGCATTTCTGGCCAGCTATCAAAAAAAAAATGTATGTATAAAAGATCCCACACCTATCTGTCTGCTCTCATGGAATTTAAAACTTTCCAAGAATTTACTATGATGTTTGAAGTCTTTGCTGTAAGCTCTTTAAAACTTTTCATAGGTTATAGGAGAGCAGGTACATCTACATATGTGGATTTTGTTTGGGTTTTTTTAGCTAGGTAAGCAGAAGCACCCAGTAGGGCAGAGTGCTTTTTATGTGGCATATTCAATGAGGTTTTGGGGAATGAATAATAGCATATTAAATAAATAACAGTAAGGAGTAGAAAATAATGAAAAAGCCAGGGTTATAAACAAAATGGGGCAAAATAATACCCAGTCTTAACAGAGAAATGTGAGTTATCTGACAGAAAAGTGCTGTTAGAAAACTGCAGAAAGTGGCAAAATCAGAGTTCCTGGCCTGATGAGCAACAGTTCAGATGCCCACAATAACAGTCTTGTTCTGTGAGCTTATGTGTGGCCTGTGCATTCAGAGGGAGAATGCACCAGATCAGCAGGGTGGGAGCACATTTGTGTCACACGAGTGGGAGCTCATCTGAAACCCAGCCTGCAGCTCTGCCCAGGACACAGGGCTTGGCTGGAGATGCAGGGCAACAGGAAAGGGTCTGCCTGAGAGAGCTTCCACCAAGCACATCAAATTATTTCATTTTTAATTAGGGAAAAAAACAGAATAAAAAAGGACGTGTTACGTGTTTATTCAAGTGTCTCTGAAAAAACTGCTTCTGCCACATAATGGAAAGGAAGGTGGTGAGGTTGAACACACACTGGTATGGGCTGGAAGTTCTGAAATCTTGTGCTGCATGTGCTGCAAACAAAGTAATTTGTGAAATCACAGCCCTATAGGCAGATCTTCTGAAAGAATTAATTGCATTTTTCTCTTGAATGCCTGTTGATCAGGTGTTTTTTGAATTATGGATCTGCCACCTTTAAATGAGCCAGCAATTTCACATACCTTGGAAATGACCTGTAAAAACCAAAAGGAAGTTTCTGACAGCCAGACACCATTTGGAATAGTATTTCCAGATGTTATTCTACTGGTAATTTTCAGAATGTTAATATCAATCAAAAAATGGATTAAAAAAAAAACCAACCCAAACAGTAGAAATAAAAGATTCTGGTGAGCAGTCAGGAAATACAGCCAGTATTTCTTACAGCAGGGGAGGTCCAGGAAAATAATTAGAGAGATTAAGCACCTTTCCTATGAGGAAAGGGTGAAAAAATTTGGATTCTTCAGCCTGGAGAAAAGAAGCTCCAGTGACCTTATTGAGGCCTTTCAGTACCTGGAGGGGCTGCAAGAGGAATTTTGGACAAGGCCTGGAGAGACAGGACTGGGGGAGAGGTTTTGTTCTGACAGAAAGTCAATTTAAATTGGATATTGGGAAGAAATCCTTCCCTGTGAGGGTGGCACAGAGAAGCCCCTGGATCCCTGAAGGTGTCCAAGGATGGGGCTTGGAGCAGCCTGGGACAGTGGAAGGTGTCCCTGCCATGGCAGGGGGTGGAACCAGGGGATTTTTAGGGTTCCTTCCAATGCAAACCACCTTGGGGTTTGTGATATCCAGAGAAGGGGAAGGCTGTGGGGATGGGGAAGGGAAGGAAGAGTGGGCAGTGCTGGAGCTCCAGGAGGAGGTGGCAGGACCGGCACACGCTGCCTTTCCTCCCCAGATGAGCTCTGTGCAGAGCCCTGCTCTGCCTCTTGCTGGGGGCTCTGAATGTGCTGAGATCTTCGGGAATGTTGATTTTCCTTCCTTTTACAGGCAGCACACAGAGGGGACTGCAGCACAGGGAACGGAGCAGCATGGCCTAGCAGGGCTAGAGTTTTAGGAAGGAATTTTGGGAAGCACCTGGTAGAACATGGGTGGGCAGGGCAGCTTGGAGGTGGCAGAGGAGTGGGGGGTGGTGGGATGTGGAAATTCACTTCATAGAAGCAGAAAAGATGATGTTTTAGTGAAGGTGCAGCAACAGAGTGAAATGCTCTGTATTTTGGACAGAAAGGAATCAAAAATTGACAAATTGTGAAATGAAGAGAAAGATTTTCAGTTGTAGTTGGCTTTTGACACGAACTCAGCCAAGATTTTCTCATTGCCGGTGTGAAGCCAGGCCTATTTTGCCTGAAAATATGTAGATAGAGACTTTGTCTATAAAGAATTCTAAAAAATAGGGAACTTCTCAGTAGGAACTCAGCTGACCCCCTGATAGGTATTTAACACATTTTCAGCACCTCTGTAGCTTTTGGGAAGGTAACAGTCATGTGTTATAATATTTCCTCACTTTGTTACACTTGCCTTCCTGCCCCTCTCACCGGCTGTGGAAAAGTTTGCATATCAATTTTGTATTTGGTTTCCTTTGCAAACTAGATAAGAAATTATAAAGTCTTTAAATTAAATTACACTTCTTTTTTTTTTTTTTCTTTTTCTTCTTATTTTTTAAAAAATATTATTTTCTCATTAAAACCCCTTAAAACAGCAGAAAACAAAACTTTGCAAAGAAATATGTCCTTGTATTTTGGATTCAGTGGAAGCTTCGTAAAGCAGGATTTGATTTATTTAAAACAAGACAGTGCTTTAATTACCACACTGATTAACACTAATTTTTTGCCTGCCTGCCTTTTACCAAGGTGTACCTGAATAGAAAATAACTTCTTTATATGTAACTGATTCATGGTGCCTCATCCTCAGAACTTTCTGTGGCTCTGATTTTCTCCACCCTGTTTGAAACACATGAACTCTAAAAAGACAACAGTTTTGCTGTTAATAGAAAGAGGAGACAGTCACGCAGAGCTTCTTGCTGTTCCCAAAGCTGCTGTGCATGGCATTATAAAAGATTGTGTTTCTCTGCTGAGATGCCCCAAGGTGACCATAGAGGGAGTGACATTAAGGTTTCACATGATAAACAGTGTTTGCTGTGAACGAGGGGAGGAGGGAGAACTTAGATATTATTTAACAATAGAAGAAAAATTCATTTGGGATGAGAAATAGCTGGGCTGGGGAAGAGGATGGCATAACACTGATGGTGGGAGCTGGTAGGTGCAGCTAAGACAAGAAATAAATGGCCAGATGGAAACCCAACCATTTTTGTCTCAGCTGAGATAACTACTGTAAGTATAAATGGGGAATGATAGGGAAAAAAGAGCTGGGCATTCATAAATAGAAGTGGTTTGTGAAAACAGTGGGATGCAAGAGCAAATTGTGCATTGAAACCTTGATAAACAGTGATTTCTGATTGGGGATGAAGCTAAAAATCCTAATGTTCTGCTTTAACCCAGGGGGCAGCCCAGCCTACAGGGTTTTGTTCACCTCCTCAGGGCAGTCCCATTGTTTACAGACTGCCATAAAATGTTCATTGTGTGGGGCAGTGCCACCACGCTGCCATAAATACTGCTTGCTGTTGTTGATTACACTGTTCCAGCACACTTACATCTGAGCTCAAGGCAAGCTGATATTTAGTATTACCTATTAATACACTTCATATTTATAGGTGCCACAGGCCTCTGCTTTGACTGCAAAGATTTTAGTGTGAAGCATTTCTTTGTTCTCCTAGATGTTATAAAGGCCAGCTGGCTCAGAACAGGCTTTGCATTGAAAAGAACTCTCACAAGTGCATGTTTTAAATAATATTTTAATAAATTGATTGCTTAGCATTTCTTGTCAGCTAGGTAGACCATGTACACTAGAAGTTGCAGAGGTGAAACAAGAACATTTTCTTCTGTGAGCTGATCCTGCATGCTAATATTTTCTTCCTTTAATCCTTTGCAGTCTGGGGGAAATTAGATTGGTGTTGCTGTTCCATTACTCTTACCTGCTACAGTAATGTTGCTGTATTTACTATCAGAAGCAGCTGGTGCATCCCTTCTAGAATAATATGATAATCTCTTTGTAGCTGTCAGTGCATACCTCTGTAGTCTGACAAAATAGATTCCTGCTCAGCCTTGCCTCTGATGAGGAGAGTTTCATCTCGCTGCTCTAGATCATCTTTGTGATGCCTTTCAATAGAAGATATCCCCTTTTTCTGATAC